CCCGCCTTGCATCGTAGCGCCCTCTCACTAAATGCACTATTGTGCACCAAACGTGTACACAGTTTAACACATTACTCTACCCACTAACTAGAATACGACACACAGAAACAAAGAGAGAAGGGGGGGCAAAGTGCGAGATGCCACACTTTTGGTAACGCTACACATTTTGTAATGCTTGGCGCTCTTTAAGTGCAAAATAATGACCGTCAAGACGGTTCAAATACGCGCTGCAGAACTGTAAAGTGAAGGAGTGAGGGGAGGGGGGAGGGGTCCACCATCTAGGTACCTAGTAGAGTCCTATACACTACCATGGTGGCGGCGCAACGCATCGGCCAGCCATTCCGCCATGATCCCGCCCAAGACCCCATAACCCGGACCTGCCGGACACACATGTGCGCTTCAACTTCGACAAGACACTACCAAGGAGTAGAGGGTGTGCGGGGGAGGGGGCTCTGGTGTAGTTAGGACAGTTAGGTGTAGTGGAGCACAGCAGTGCGACCAGCCGCAGCTAGCCTGCCGCAGCCCTCCTACCCCCGCCCCCTCCCGCCCGAGCCCGCTGCTGCAGCTTGCTACGGCTGCTGAAAGACGCGGAGAAGGGAAGGCTCCATCACTGGCGAGAAGAAACTAAGAAACTACCATGGACTCCAAGCTCGGGTGCTGGGGAGCCGGGTTCAAGGGCAAACAAAATTTTAAGAACACGCCCATTTCACCGTCCCCCGTCTGACGGGAGAGGAGTCATCGCGATTTTCCGAAACAAGTTTGGCGGTCGGTTTTGGACAGACCACGAAGCTCGAACTTGTATTGACCACCAGCACAAGCAGGCAGGACGCAGGGGGTGGGCCAGGCATCGGTTGGCTCCTGGTCACTATGGACAGGCGTGACAGTGCTGGTCAAGTCCGTTGCTTCAAGTCAGTCCAAAGCCACACCAGCCGTGCCCCATCCCGTCCGCGAGTACTCTGCGATTGCGCGAGAAGAGTGCAGCACGAGTGCGAAGCGAGTGCTCTACGATTGAGCGGGCGCCAGGGAGCGGCGTGAGGGTAGATGGAAATCCCACCTGCCCCCCCCCCTCCCCTTCCCCACGTCCCGCTCGGCCCGCCCGGGCCCGGTCCGCGGCAGCACTAGCGCATTCTCTGCCCGGCGCACTAGAGCCCCAGCTTTTACTGCGTGGGGGAAGGGGTGGAGGGGTCTGCAGCTCTATGGGGTATTTTATGATGGGTCGTTAGACGGGGCAGGCTGCGGGGGCATGGCGGCGAGCCGCGCGGGCTGCGCGGCGTGGCCGTTCAGAACAGCCTTACAGTGGCGATCCAGCACGCTGACTGCCGCCAACTTTCAGAAAGGCGACTACTGGGGCCGTTCAACTTTGTGCTTTAACTAGCGAACTCTTAAAAACTCTACGCTCTAACTGCAGGGCGATTCCACACAGCGCTTCTGTACTTCCCCGTCCATGTTGCACCCACAGGACACCGCCACCGGGTGGGAGGGAGAGGACACGAGAAAACACTGCTGATTCGCCTTAATTAACTGGCGAGCTTTTAATTTTACAGCAGGACAAGCTGCTGATACTGTCGCATCGTCTACTCAAAATATTAATTCACCCAACTTCCTATGCACATGATGCAATTGCGCGCAATTGTTTATCGAAGCTGTCGTCCAGCTGTGTTTCAATGACAGAAAAAAAGGTCCTGCAGAAACACAAGTATTTGCACAAAAAGCGGACGAAGAACATGATGTACTTCGAAAAATAGGATGGGTTTATAGCAAATCCTCGTTCCCGTTTAAAAACTTTAAGTTGAGTCTAATCTGAAGACTGCGAAGGGATTTGAGAAGGTAAACAGGGAATATGATATTCAAAAACTATGTATAATGTACA